CTCCACACGAGGGGTTGGACCCATGACGGCTCCAGGCCCACACGGCGCCGAGTATGTCTCGGGGGGCGCTGGGCAGTGGCTCCATGAGAGTGTAACACTGGCTAGGCTGGACTGAGGTTGCAGGGGGAGAGGCCAGTGGGATGGGGGAGATCAGCCTGGATTCCCTGCCCCCAGCTGGCTGGTCCTCTGGCCCCAGTCTGTATTGGCTGGGGTGATTCTCCTGGGGCGTGAGCGGGCTTCTGCTCTCCCAGCATCTCCCCAGTGAGGGGCAGGGGGTTGGAGAGAGCGGGTTTAGGGGTGGTTCTCTGCCGGGACTGGGGCTCATCGGCTGCGCTTGTGAGCGCCTTGCCCTGGGCTGCAATTTGGTCACTTGCTGTGTCCAGTCAATACTGAAGTGTCAGGGAATGTTCCAGGCTTCCATGGCCAGAGCCCTGCTGATCTGGGGGGCGCACGGAGTCCCCTCCATCTGTTGAGCCCACAAGACCTTTAGCTGCCTGGGCCATTGTCTGTAGCTCAGACTGGCTGATGGCACCCATTAGCACCTCTCAGGATAACAATAGGGGGCCCATCCTCCCAGCAGAGTGCTGCTTCTCCCCCCAGGGTGGGGGAATGCCCTGTGCACACCCTACCCTGGCTGGGAGAGGCTGGTATGGGGGGAAAGGGGGCTGTGAGGTGAGTTTGGGGGTGCACACAGAAAGGTGAGAATGGGGGTGCACACAGAATCCTGGGTCTGGGGGGGGACTGATAATAGGGGTGCAGACAGCTGCTGGCATGAGCCTGGTATGGGAGGGAAATGGGGGGCACACTGACTCCCTATCAGGGGGAGTATTGGGGAGTCCCTGAAATAATAAGGGGCTGGGAGGGGGGGCTCCTGGGAGGAACGGGGTGATGCATGGCACCCCGGTGTATACTGCGAGCTCTGCGGCATGTGACCCGCTGGTACCTCTCTGATGGCCTTGGCACTGCAGGTCTCCGAGCAGCCAGCCCCTGTGTGTCGCTGGCCCAGCCCACGCGTCGCTGCCCTGCCCCGGCGTAATCCAGGGCTTGCCCAGAGAGGCTGAGCCTGGCCTTGGCTTACAGGGTCTCTCCGCTGGCGGCTCGCCCCGCGGGTGCAGACAGCCCCTGACTCTTCCTCGCTTCCCCTGCAGCCGCTGCACCGTGGCCTCATGAGCCAGGCTCGGCTCCAGATCCTGATGCTCGGCCCAGAGGCCTCTGGGAAATCCACCATGACCAGACACCTGCTCCGCAAAGGGGGCGAAAGCTGGAAGAGTCGGGAGAAACCCCAGAGAGAGGTAACTGGGGCTAGGGGCCGTCTGCAGGGCGGACGGGTGCCCTTCAGCCATGTCCCCCACCACTCGCTACCAGAGCCTGGGCTGGACGGCATGGGGAGGAAGCTCTGCGATGAGACTGTCCGCGAGGTCCCTCGGCCAATGCCCGTTCTACGGGGGACCCACCAAGAGCAGGGCTGGGGTTAGGCCCCTCACCGCTGCCTGGGGAGGCAAAGTCAGCCTCCGTCTCCACTTCAAAGAGCAGCATTTCCGCAGGCCCCCCCAGCTGGCAGAGCGGATGGGCTCAGAGTGACCGGGGGGTGGCTGGGGTCTCTTCTCAGGGCAGCTGGAGGACGCAGTCCTGCCTAGTGAAGATTTCTCAGCCCTCACCCCGAGGGGAACTGGAGCCCGACGAGCTTCTCGGAAGACCTTGTCTAACACACAATTGCAGCCCTTCCAATGTAGCAGCTAGTCTCAGCCCGAGAGCCGTGTCAGGACCACTGGACCAGCAGCTCCCCAGTCACCCAGGCAGGTTTCCAGGGACACCGGGCTTAGCTTTCCAGTGTAACAAACCTGAACAACTGGTGCTGGAGCACCCTGCCCGGCCCCCGCCCGGCAAAGCCGCGAATAGCCACGGGAGCCCAGTGTTTCCCCTCAGCACTTCCACGGTTTTCTGCTGCCCCAGCTCATCTCCTCCAGGGCAGATCAGTAGTTCTGGGTGCCACAGACCTGGCTGAGCCCCTGGGGGCGTGACTCTGCAGTCCACACTTGAGAATTGAGTCCTAGTTTCTCAAATTGCATGCCCCAAAGTGGGGCCCGCCCCTGGGAATTCAGTCCCAAGACTAGTGTTTAAGCACCTCTCGGCCTGCTGCATCAGTTATGAATGTAAAACAATTGCTTGAGTCCTGGCACCTCCTTTGTGACAAAGTAAACGCTGCCCAAGGCCTTTCCCAAGGGCAGCAGCTGGTGGCAGAAGCAGGATTAGAACCACCGACTCCCAGGCCCATGTGCGTTCCTCAGCCAGGCTGCACCGGCATGAGCTCGCTGTCCCATAGCTGAGAGAACCTCACGATTGTGCCAGGTGTGTCAGGCAAAAAGCTGCTGCCCCGGTCTCTGGGACACTCGCAAGGCCCCGTTCCCATAGACTCCTGGCACCAAGACACCATGGGTGGCATGTCTGCTGCATGCAGGGGGGGATGCTGGGCAGGGGGACGGAGGGAGGCTGAGGTTTGCCTCAGCTGGTTGCTCTGTGGGTACCTTGCCTAAACATAGGTGGCTGTTGCTGGCTCGTACGAGAACTGTAACCAGCGTCCCTCCCCGTGCAGACCGGGAAGAGCCCCCCCACGCATGCCCGGGTGCTGGACAGGCTGAGCACAGAGCAGCAGCAGGGCGCAGCCCCCAGTCATCTCCTGCAGCATGTCAAGACCCCAAAGTACAAGGTCGTCATTGTTGATTCCCCGGAGCCCGGGGGGCTGCCCAGTAACCGGTTCCCAGGCAGTGCTCAGGTAAGTGCCAGGCTGGGGGGTGCATTACCAGAATGGCTGTGGCCCTGGTTGGTGGGGAGCTCGCTGACAAACCCAGGATCCGCTGGCTAGATGCTGACGCAGGGTAGAAACTCACCCCGGGCTGCGGGGGCGAGGGGTGTGGTTATCCATCACTTGGAGGCTGAGTCAAGGCTGGGTCTCTGGCAGGAGGCTGGACAGGAAGATTTAACTGTCTCTTCCGGCCTCAGAAGCTCTGGATCTTGCTCTAAAGATTTCCTTCCACTAACCCGCTTTAACCCATGTCCATGTGCTGGTTATTGGCACGTCGGGCAGGGTTCAGTCAGACGCCGTGCTGTGGCCACCCGGGTACCTTGGACAGCCCAACAGGCAGGCTCAGCTGTGGTGCCCTTTGTCTGGCCAGCCTCTCTTGGCTGGCGTTAATTCTGCTGCTGCCCTTTAATTCTCCCCCAGGGGGGTCACAGGCACATGGCCCTAGCAGTAACTAAATATTCAGGCTGATGTGCAGGGTGCATCGTCAGGCCATGGCTGTCTGCCCTTGGCTTCTCTGCTGCCTGCTCCTGTCTCCTTCCTCTCTTTCCTCTTCTCTGGGGGAAGAGGAGGTTTGCCCCCCCCCATCACTGTGCCCCTAACCCCCTGCCCCATCCCACCCCAAAGAGGGTATCTGCATCCTGCCCTGCATTGGAATCTCTACGCCTGCCCTGTGGCCACACCCAGCGCTGGATAGAGCACCCGGACCCAGTGGGCGTGAGCCACGCACCCGGCACGAGATCGGGCGCCGGGCTCCCGTGGGCGTGGACTGCTCTGTGCCCTGGATGGCAGTGGTTACGGTGCATGGCCCCAGCACTCGTGGCTGTGGCTCCCTGGCTTCGTGTGCATCGCGTCTCTCACGCCCAGGCGTTAACCAGCTCTCGCCTCCCCCAGGCCAGCGCTGCCATGCTGCTGGTGCCTGCGGCCGGGGGACCGCGTGAGGCCGGCTGTGCTGTCCCAAACCAGCTGGTCCTCCTGGCCTGCAACCTGCCGGCCAAGCAGCTCGTCGTCTGTGTGAACAAGATGGATGCCACGCAGCCTCCCTACAGCCGCCAGCGCTACCAGGAGATCACCCAGGCAGTGAGCGCCTGCCTCCACCAGCTGGGCAAGAACCCAGCAACTGTGGCTTTTCTCCCCATCTCGGGCTTGCGTGGGGACAACCTGCTGGAACCCAGCCCCAGGGTAAGTCTGGGGCCTAGCCCCCCTGGGAAGGGCTGCAGGGCATTGGGCCAGGTGCGTCCCCCCCCCGCCCATCCCATAGGAATGGGTGGTACTGGCTGCAGGGGAAGGGGCACGGCTTAGCTAGGCCACTGGCTTGTCCATCCTAGCAGCTGTCTCAGACCGGCACCCGTGATGCCATGTCTCTTTGCCTGCAGGCCAGAGCCGGCGCTTTCGGGAAAGCGGGGGCTGGTACTGTGGTTCCCAAGGCAGCTGCATGCTGGGGAGGTGGTGCCTCGGGCTCAGACCCATGGAGGTATTGAAATCAATGGGTGCCAGGCAGCAGGGTACCCCTGGGGAGCAGGGCCATAACACCCGGGCTGTCTCCTGTCCTTCTCCTCCAGCCCTCAGCATTAAACTGGCCCTGCGTTGGCAGCTGACCCTGCTCTGCTGGCCAGCCCACCGTCCAGGGCCCCGTCTCTGCTGTTCCAAGCCACAGAAGGCCTGTGGCTCTCAGGGGAAAGCGGGTTCCTGAGCTGGCTCTTGGCTGGCCACCCTTCTCCCTGGTCACCCTCCACAGTGTCTGCTGAGCTCCCGGGGGCAGGGGCTGTCTGTGCCGGGCCTGGCAATGCATGGTCCTGGGCCACTGCTGGGGCTGCCAGACGAGACAGGAAGTCGGTGATGTTGTCCCCTCTCCCTCGCCAAGCAGAGGCCATTAAACCCCAGGAGAGGCCAGCTGCATAACGCAGGGCTGTCCCCGGCTCTTGTGTTGTGAGGGGAAAAAATCCAATCTTGATTTGAAACTCGTCAGTGATGGAGAATCCAGCACAACCCTTGGTTCCAATGGTTAACGACCCTCACTGTCAAAAATGTACACCTTGTTCCAGTCCAAATTGGTCTAGCTTCCACCTGCAGCCATTAAGCAATTCCAGCCAGGCGGAGGAGACGAGATCACTGACTTGGTGAGGCTCCCCTTGAGCAGGGGATCTGCCCTCCGTTACCTGGGCAGTAACTCAGAAATTCTGCCCCTTGCAGATGCCCTGGTTCCGAGGCTGGGCGGGCGCTAGGAAGCGGGGCAGTACCCTGACCACCAGCCTGCAGCAAGTCCTGGATTCTATCCTCCCTGGGTGGCCCCAGCGGGACTCCAACTACACGTGTGGAGGTGGGTGGTAATTTGCCTCGTTAGGCTGGCCGGGGGAGGAGGGTCTCCAGCACAGTGCTGGAAACCCTGCTTCGGCCGCAATGACTGACGCGGCCACCCGTGGGGCTAGAGGTGCCTGACGCAGGGAGCCCCGTGCGCTGCAGACCAGCACCCTGGGTGCCAGAGGCCAGGATACCCCATGACGTGAGTTTCTGGCATCCTCAGCTGGCTCAGCGAAGGGCCCTCCGGGAGCCCTCTGTCCCCAGGAGAGTAGGTCAGCTTTGCTCTGGACCTGGCACGGCCCTGCTCAGCCAGCATCCACGCACGACTGGGTTCTTGGTGCTGACCCTGCCTCGGCAGGGCTGCTTTGCTTCCTCCTGGGGTGTAGCTGGAATATAGGGCCTGGGACCTGAAACCCCTGCTTCCCAGGACAGCCTGCAGCGGGTGACGCCTAGAGGGGTACTCCTGTTGTCCCCATCCACTGTGCCCTGGCACCGGCCACCCCGCAGGGCGAGGCTGCTCGTGCAAACAGGGAGCCCCTCCCTAGTCTACAGCCTGTCCTTCGCAGATATCCGTACTCTAGCAATGCCATCCCATGGGTCAGTGGGGCGCCCGCTCCGTTCTGCTCTCCCCGTCTCTAGAGAAGGAGGGGGCTGGGGTCAGCTGGGCCAGGAAAATTGGAGGCTAGGAGAGCCTGAGGCTGTCCTGAGAGGAGACAGTCCTACAGGTTAAGGCAGGGATCATCGAGTCTGACCTGTCTATCCCAGGCCAGCTCCTGCACTCTAAGCCCAACCAGAGCTAGACCAAAGTGTTACAGAACCCACCTGGGGCAGGGAGCAGGCAGATCGTCAGCAGCTGCGCACCTTACCTGGGGAACTCTCCGCCACAAGGTCCAGTGAGAGTGTCCAGGTGACTCCGTCTGTGTCGGAGCATAGCCAGCCGCTAACAGACGGGGCTGGGGAGGAATTGTGCCTTCCTAGGTGGCCGCTGGTTCTGGCCATGGGTGGAGCTGGGGGGCTGGGCCAGCAACATTAACACACCTGGCTGAGCCACCTGCTTGTTATTGACCTCTCCCCCTCTCCGCTTCCCGAAACGGCGCGGGCCCAGGGTGGTCGGAGGCGGAGATGAGGAGCCTGCTCTCGGTCTGGAAGGGCGTAGCAGGCCGGGCGGCGCATGGCCTGCGGCTGGCCCGGGAGATGTCCCGGGGGCTCGTGGGAGCAGGAGTCAGGCGATCGCCCCGGCAGTGCTGTATGAAGGCCAATGCCATGATGAAGCAGTACTTCGACCGCCGGGGCAGGGCAGGGCGGGGCCGCTGCCCGTTCTGTCCAGGAGCTGCATGCCATCCTTGGGAGCCAGGTCACCAAGCCGATGTGTGACTGGGAGCACCCCAGCCACTCCCCACGCTGCGAGGGCAATGCCGGCTCTCTCACGGAGGAGGAGTCTGACAGTGGAGAAGCAGAAGACCAGGAGATGTTTCTAGCAGGTGCTGTACTGTTTGATCTCCATTAAGCGCCCTCGGGCTTGTCTACACGGGGAGCTATTCTGGATTAGCTGCCTGTGTGGACTCTCTTATTCCGAATTGAGTGCTTTATCACAAGTTAGCTTAATCCACTTCCAAAGCCAAACTTGGAATAAAGCACTCAATTCAGGATAAGAGTGCCCACATGAGAAGCTAATCCAGAATAGCTATTCTGCTCTAAATTTGCACCCACCCTTAATCTGTATTAATTTCTCAATGGAGACAAGCCCTTTATGTCCTGGCATTAATATGTGGAGGGATGGGTGGACAGATGGCTGGCACTGGGGTGGCTGGTTGGGGCGGGGTGGCTGCCTGGTGCTCTCTTCAGTTGTCTCTGGCCGTGTACGTCCCAAGCCCAGACAGTCCCACGAGCACTGACTGACACCAGGCTCCCAACATCTTCCCAAGCCAGCCCGAGGCAAAGATCTCAGCAAGGGGGCCCTGCAGCTGGCTGTACCGGGGCCCCTGTGGAGTAGCAGGGGAAGCCAGGCCCGGCCCAGGGCCTTGCTCTGAGGCAGTTCTTGTGACTGTCTGCTCAGGTGCCCCATCAAATCTCACCTGCGAGACTGGCTGCTCCGAGGGGCAGGACACCCCAGCAAAATCAGCATGGGGAATTGCACCTGGAAACCCCACCTCCAGTCTGGCCCTGGCTTTTAATGGGGCACTGGCCAAAGCAGACAGCTGGGAGGGAGGCCCCTGACTTAACTGGGGCTTCGCCAAGTGGCTGTAGAAGGGCAGGGGGCCTTGTCCCAGCAAGGGACTGGACACAGCAGGCTGAGCTCCTGCTCCTACCTCTGCCTGTGACTGTCGGGCCACTCAGGCCAGTGCTGTCCAGAAATGGCCACTGGCTTCGGCTGCCCAGCTCGAGACCCCCAGGGATCTGACTTCTCAGGTGTCCAAAAACAGATGCACCTGAGTGCTAGGGCCCCTTCTGCCAGCACTGGCCTGAGTGCCCAGCCAGAGGATCCTGTCCTGCTGCAGAGCCAGGCCTGGCCTCCCTCAGGTGGGGGGATCTCCCTCATATTTCCATAGGGCTTTAAACCCTCCACAGAGCAGAGTTACTCAGGTGACTCCCCTCACCCAGGTCCCAAGATGCAATAGCCATGGCAAAGCATGGACCCCTGCTCTTGTCTCCTGGTGACTGGAGTCTCCTGCGGGCCAGAGATTGGGCCATTGGCAGTAACGGGCAGTTCCCGCTGGCATGGGGCGTCAGGCTGCAGCATCCTGACTCCCAGCCAGTGCTAGGAGGTCACCAGGCCTCTGTGTATAGAGCTATCCCGGCAGCAGGAAAACCAGCCAGTGTCACGTGGCTCCTACCCTCCCATCGCTGGCAGGATGAGCTGGCGCTGGACAAGTCTCCCTAAATCCACCTTTCCCCGGACGTGGGGCATTGCCTTCACACCCTGACGCTCTCCGACTACTTCATGGAAGGGGCTCAGCCTTGCCGTGGGAAGACGAGCGAGATGGGGCTGTAGGCTGGGGGTAGGGGCTTCCCACCAGCCTAGCTGCCCTCACCACGGGTGAAGCTGTGAACCCTGTGGGACAGGGGCTGTGTTCCCAGGGGGCACCCGGCTTGGTGGGGCCTGACCCTGCCTGGGACCTGCATGTGTTGTCGTAACGCAGCCAGCCTGTGCCCGCGCGGCACTTGCTTTCCAGCGTAGATCGCTAGGTCCTGCTCTGGATCCTCACTCCAGTCTCTGCTTCTCATCTGCAGGCCTGGAGGGTGACCCCGTGAGAATGAGCAGCACCCCAGCGCCCTGCTTAGAGGCGCCCCCCGTCCTCCCAGCCTCCCCCGATGGTACCATGTCAGCCGGCCTGAAGAGGAAGGACCCGGAGCACCCCGTCCTGCGGCTGCTGAAGAAGCCGCGAGGGGAAGCCCTTCACGCTGGCATGCAGCCCTTGGCACCACCCCAGGGGAGTGACGGGCCAGGCGGTTACCTTGATCCATGCCCACTCGCTTCCATCCCACCCACGCCGCCCTCCCACCGCCAGCCAGCCCCACCCCTCCTGCCCCTGTCCCAGCCAGCGGGGCCCCAGCAGGTACTTTCACTGCATTGCCCGCAGGCCCCACCTCCCTGGTGCCCCACTGAGCCAGTGTCTCACCCGCAGGCCCCACCCCTCCAGCTCCCATCCCTCCCCCTGCAGCCCTGGCACACCCCTCCACTGCAGCCCCCATCTCTCCAGCTCCCGTCCTCCCCCACCCACTGGCCACAGGCCCCTCTGCTGCACCACCAGTCCACCCCCTTGGTCCTGCTCCCAGCCTGGCCAAGGCGCTGCTCTGGCTGGGGGTGCAACTGCGGAGATGGGGCCTGCCAGTGCTGCCAACAAGCCCTTCCCGTGCATCCTGAGTGCACGTGGCTGCTCCCAGTCCTGTCCCAGCCACCCCCGCCGCTGCAGCAGCCTCTGGCCTCGCCTCTCCAGTATCCGTCCCCTCCACGGCCCTGCCAGCTGGCCCGGTCTCCCCCGCTGCCCCAGCCCAGGCCTGCCTCCCCCCCAGCCCTTCTCGACAGCCGCCCCTTGCTGCAGGCTCTCTGCTGGTCCCTCACTACCACTGCACTGGCCTGATGCTCAGGGGCCGGCTCGCAGGCTGTAATCCAGCCCTGTGCCAGGGCATTGCCCACCACAGGCAGCCAGGGGCCGTGCTTTGCATCCCTCCAGACCTGCTCACTGCCAGCCTGGCCCCTGGCCCTGCTCAGGACCCCTGGGCTTTAGGTGCAGCAGTGCCCCTGGCCCTGGAGGCTTTTGTGGGGGGAAGGGGCTCTTGGAGCTGGCTCTGTGCCTAGTGTGTGTGTGTGTGTGTGTGTGTGTGTATGGGGGGGGGCAGTACTCCCGCAGGGTGGAGGGGGCTCTGTGGCTACTCTGTGCTGCTGAAACTGGCTTCGGCCTGCAGGTTGGTGGCTTCCCCCGTGCTTTGTGTTGGTAAATGGCAATAAAGTGTTTCCCTGCAGTCCTTGCTCTGGGGTTTTCTACCCCCGCTCTCATAGCCTGACAGACACCGCAAGGCAAATAGGGGCTTGCTCAGCCCTAGCCACGATAGGGACCATCACCTGGGCCAGGCCTCCAGCACGGCCACCAACCATTGGCACTCGGGGCAGAGAGGAAGGGTTTGGATGCCCTCTTGGCCGCCGAGTGCCAAAAGCTGAGATGGAGGGTAAGTGCCGTGGGGCAGGGGCTGGGTGGTCACTTTTGGGGGCTGGACTCCTGAGGGGGGCCTCTAGCTGTTACTGCAAAACACATGGCTAATGGCGAGGGTGTCCCTTAGGGCTGGACTCGGAAGTGCTGAGCACCCACCTGTGGGGACCAGCCCCTCTCACAGTCAGGCCTTTCCAATGCAGCACGGTCCAGCTGCCCCCAGCTCTCTGCCACCCTCCCCTGCTGGAACAAAGGGGGTTCAGCCAGCTGAGAGCCGGGGTGCCTCTTGGCTGGGAGTCAGAACTCCTGGGTCCTGCTCTTGGCACTGGGGCAGTGTGCAGGGCATAGCTGTGTCTGTGCACCCAGGGGCTACGTACTAAGGAGAACAACTACAAGCCTGCAAGGGTCTTGGCGGAGCCCTCCCCATGCCAGGTTCTCTGCCTCTGCCACCTTGGCTGCCCCTGGGAGAGCTGAGTGCCTAATGGCAGACACCTAGCACCAGAGCGGGCATCTCACTAAACAGCCTGCTGCACAAAGGGGATGTGCCTCAGTTTCCCCCTCAGTTACACTACGGTTTTGCTGGCCCTACTGCTAGGTTGGTGCCTAATGAGATGAGCAATGAGCTCTGCCCAGAATTCACAGCCCAGTGGCACCTTTCACCACCCCTTGAGCTGTTCCCGGGGGCAGAAGGAGTCATTTGGGGGGATGAGTGCAAATCCCTCCATGCTTTGCCTGGGGAGAGCTGGGTGCTTTAACCTTTTGAACACCAGTTCTTCGTGTGCCCGCCAGGGAGGGCTGGCCTGCCCTGGAGCAGGATCCCAGTCTATGCATCATTTGTTCACAGGCAAGGGGACAGATCCCCAGGGCTCTGTACAGGGGCCAGAGCTGTTCACATATTCATCAATGATCTGGAAAAGGGGGTAAACAGCCAACTGGCATAGGCTGCAGATGATACAAAGTTACTCACGATAGTCAAGTCCAAAGCTGACTTTGAGGAGTTACAAAGGGACCTCACAAAACTGGGTTACTAGGAAACACAATGGCAGATGAAATTCAGTGTTGATAAATGCAAAGTAATGCGCATCAGAAAAATCCCAACTCTACATAGAAAATGACAGGGTCTAAATAAGCTGTTACCACTCAAGAAAGATCTTGGCGTCACTGTGGATAGTTCTCTGAAAACATCCACTCGATGTGCAGCGGCCGTCAGAAAAGCGAACAGAATGTTAGGAACAATTAGGGAAGTGCTAGATAGTAAGACAGAAAATATCATGTTGCCACTAAATTAATTCATGGTACACCCACATCTGGAATACTGGGTACAGGTCTGGTTGTCCCATCTCAAAAATGATATATAGAAAAATTGGAGTATGGAACAGATGAAAAGGGATTAATAAGACTGGGACTGTACAGCTTGGAAAAGAGACGACTAAGGGGGGATATGATAGAGGTCTATGACTAGTGTGGAGAAAGTGGCTAGGGAAGTGTTAATTACCCCTTCACCTAACACAAGAACCAGGGGTCACCCAATGAAATTAACAGGCTGCAGGTTTAAAACAAACAACAGGAAGTATTTCTTCACACAACGCACAGTCAACCTGTGGAACTCCTTGCCAGGGGATGTTGTGAAGGGCAAAAGTATAACTGGGTTAATAAAAGAACTAGATAAGTTCATGGCGGACAGGTCCATCAGTGGCTATTAGCCAAGATGTTCAGGGATGCTCTGACAGCCAGAAGTTGGGAATGAGCAACAGGGGATGGATCACTAGATAATTGCCCTGTTCTGTTCATTTCCTCTGCAGCATCTAGCACTGGCCACCGTCGGCAGACAGGATCCTGGGCTGGATGGACCATTGGTCTGACCCAGTCTGGCCGTTCTTATGCTGGCGGGCATAACCCACAGTTGCTCTGCAGACCAGCCTGTTGCCCCTCTGTCTCACACACACGCAGGGGCCAGGGATGCCCTGGGAAGCTCTAGCCAAGCAGTGGGATGGCTCTGGCCAGCCCTTTAAGAACTGAAGGTACTTTCAGGCCAGAGCAGAGCTGCCTGCAGCGGGGCTCCAGGCAGCGAGCAGGGCAGACCTGTGTGTGCCCTGGGAGCAGCCAGCGTTAAGCATGGTGCCTTTCTCCCCTACAGAACTCTGAGCGCTCACCTTCCCGTGGTACAGCCACTTGGGACAGGGGCATCCCCCTTCCCCAGGGCCCGCACGGGGCCGGGATCTCAGCCGCCGGGGGGGTTGATGATACTTTGCCCTCTGCTCACCTCTGCAGGGGGGGACCTAACCTAGGAGCCGCCCCACACATATGGGTGCCTGTCCCTGCTTCCCAGGGGCTGACAATATGCAGGCAGCTGCAGTCCTCAGCCCGCTGCCCTCTCCCCAGGGGCAGGTGCTTGGCCCCCTCGTGCGCAGCTGGCTCCACTCCCAGCCCCTCCCAGCTCACAGTCATTTGCTCCCCTGCACCTCCCTGGCCAGATTTAATCAGGCCTGCAGCAGGCTGGCCCCTGGGGGGCTGCTCCCAGCCCAGGGCAGGAGGGGGTCATTGTGCTCCTGGGGGCCCTGCAGCCCATACTCTGCTTGCTCATTGCCCTGCTCATCCCCTGTGTGGTTCTGCTCTTCCTCCTCGACTGCCTGCTCCTGCTGCGGCTCCTGCTCCGCCCGCTGCCCGCCCGTCAGAGGGGGAGACGGCGGCAGAGGCAGCTGGGGGACCAGAGCCCCCCAGCTACGGCAGCATCTGCTCCCAGCAGCCCCATTGCCTGCCGTGGCCCAGGCCCAGCTGTGGGACTTGCTCTGAGGAAGGGCTGGCTGGGTGCTCCCGGAGGCTGCCCTGCTGCAGTGCGGGGGCTGCTCTGCCCTGCAATTCTAGGAGGCCCCCTAGAAACCTGCCCCCCCGCTGCAGCCAGGCCCAGCAGAGGGCTCCCTGCTGGACTGGGGCATCTCAAGGGACCGTCTCTGTCAGGGACCTAGATGCATGCCCCCTGCCAGTGCCTCCCAACACCCCTGCCACGACCTCGGGCTCCGGGGTAAGTAACCACTGGGGAGCGGTGATTGCACAGCCTGGCTCCTGTCTAGTCTGCAACTCCCCTTCCTGGGGCCACAGCCCAGGGAGCTGCCTGGGCCCTGTCTCAGCTCTACCCCAGTGGAGCGCCCAGCTCCCACCCCATCCTTGGGGAAGCTGTTCCCAGCCTCCCACATCTGTCGGGTACCAGCCCTGCTCCCTTCGGTTCCCTGGATGTAGCTAGCGCTGCTCCCTTTAACCCTGCTGGGTGGGCTGGCCCCGGGCAGTCTTGTGTCACACAGCCCCAGTGCCATTTGGGGTGTAAGCCCCCCTGTCTCAGAGCCTGGGGTGGGGGCAGGGGACAGGCCCCTTGTGGACCCTCTGGCAACCCTGAAGCTCCGCTTTCCCTGGCTGCAGGAGAGGAGGCTTAGCAGCTAAAGCTGGGATGGGCAGGACAGAGAAGGGAGCCGGCAGAACTGGGCCCCAGGTGGTGAACACCAGCCTGTTGCTCTGGCGAGGGACGTGGGCGCAGGTCAGACCTGGGGCCTGTCTAGCTCAGGGGCCCTGCTTTGACAGTGGCAGCCCCAACTGCTTTGGAGGAAGGCACCAGACCCCCTGCGGGAGCAGCAGTGGGATAATCTGACCCCAGGGGAGTCTCCTCCTGAGCCCAGACAGCCAAGCCCTGAAGCCCCAGGCTCCCAGCCCTTCCCAGCATTAAGCATTCTTGTTTTACTATTGTAACACCCAAGAAACCCCAGTCGTGGGCCAGGGCCCTGCGGCGCTAGGTGCTGTGCAAACAGCGATCCTGGCCCCAAAGGGTTTGCCGTCTAAGTAGTCACTGTGCAGCAGTAGTCACTGGCTAGTCTTGTGTTCATGTAAACGCCTGCTAGGGTGAGCAGACAGCAAGTGTGAAAAATCGGGACGGGGGTGGGAGATAATAGGAGCCCATATAAGAAAAAGACCCAAAAATCAGGACTGTCCCTATAAAATCGGGACATCTGGTCACCCTAACGCCCGCTCCCTCGCTGAACTGCACCTAGCTCTTGGCCTCCCTGACATCCTGTGGCAATGAGTACCATAGGCCAGTTGGCTGTTGTGTGTGTGTGGGAAAGCGTTTCTTCATCTGTTTTGAATGTGCCCTTTTGCATTTTGTGGAGTGTCCTATTGCTCTTGGGTTATGGGAAGTGGGTAACTTCGTCTGTGCCCACCCCCTTCCTGCTCCCCCAAGGATCACTGTCATGAGGGGGAGACAGGGCAGCTGCTGACCTGCCCCCTATCCGCACAGGCCCCTGTAGGTGGGTTGCTCAGTACTGAGATGGCAGGTGGACTGTCTTTTGGCATCTTCCCCACACCCCCCTTGGGGTCCTGGCTGTGTCCCCCTGAGGTGCTGGCTGGAGCCGGGGTGCTGGACTGGGCACATGCCTGTAGCTGCTGCTGGATGGAGGGGTGCATGGGGCGCATTCTGCACCTCCCCACAGGGACCACTGCCCCTTGCTCCAGAGCTGAGAGGCGCTGGGTCTCTTCAAGGCAACGGGCCTTCACTTCCCAGCCACGCTGTCCTGGCCCCAGAGCTGTATCTTACATCCCACCCGCTCCTGCTGCAGGTCACCCCAAAGAGGACGTTCCCCCAGAGACGCACCAGAACCCAGAGAAC